CCTCTGGTTTAGTCCAGTGACAATACTACTAGGACATAATCTCAACATAGTTAAATGTTGAGACTGATCAATCTGCTCAACCAGTTGCCCAGGCAGATGTAACATGTAACAGTCTGTTTTACACAGGCCATAACTAGCAAGTAGCAAACTATCCTGGGTCAAGAGGCTGTAACTGTCCTAATCCTTGGATTTGAGCATGTTATCCAGGCTGACAATATAGCACAATGCAGTAAATGTTTGTTATCTGTTGTTCCATAACTTTGCCCACTTTTTTTCACCTTGGGAAATTATACAGAGGCATGGGTACAGTGCATTTCTGGAGGGGTGTTGCATCACTGGAAATGACATCTTTTGGAAGAGTCCTTTAATAAAGGCCCCCTCAGACTGATGTATAAACATCCTGTGGTGTTGCTTCAAAGAAGGGCAGAGGAGTGCTCAGGAATGCTCTGGGCAATGATTATCCTTCAAGTAACATCACAAGAAGAGATGATCTGATTGAGATCACGTGACTTTGTGCAAGGCCACTGTGAGAAAACTAGCTGCCTCATTGATAAAAAAGGAAAGAGCTGCAGATGCTGGAGATCGAATAACAAGCAGTAAGTGCTGGAGAAACTCAGCAGGTCTGGCAGCATCTATGGAGAGTTGAAGCTCCACTGTGCTAAAGAAGTCATAAGACTCAAAACGCTAACTGTTTCTTTGTCTCCACAGATACGGCTGGAACTGCTCAGTTCCTGCAGTGATTTCTGTTTTTATGAGTTGCTGTATTTCCTGGTGTCTTCATTTTAAAACTAATTGATGGTGAAGGTTTATGGGAACATCTCACAGGGTGTAAAAGCTGCTACTACTATTCAGATCAGGGAGCTCATGTTTGTATTTCACTTTCCAGCAATTGCTGGAATAAAAAAAATGATTTTTAGTTTATTATACAGTTATAATATATTTATTTATATATATCAGGTTTCTCATATGCAGCATTGAGATCATAAGGAGCATCACCAAAACTACCTTGGAGTAACATAGTCACAGGCCTATACTCACAGTTGATGGCAAGCACAGAAATTCCTAGCAAAACTCAGCAGATCTGGCAGCATCTGTGGGGAGAAAGCAGAGTTAACATTTTCAGTCTGGCGACTTGTCATCAGAACTCATCAGAATCTTCATTATTCTCTTGACCGTGTGTGGAGCTTCTATTTTCAGCATCGTAAACAGCTTAACCTACGCGGCAGCCCCCACAGTGACAAATATGGTAGCCATGATGAGGAGGTGCCAGTGTTGGACTGGGGTGGACAAGGTCAGAAATCATACAACACCAGGTTACAGTGCAACAGGTTTATTTGAAAACACAAGCGTAGATGCGTAGCCCCTTTGTCAGGTAAAATGTGGTAGCAGACCATATGACCCCAAACCAATTGTTATATTGTAGTGTTACAGGTTTACAACATGGCAAATAGTCTTCCTGGGGAGCCAGTTACTGAATTCTTGACAAGACTGTGAAAATTAGTGGAACACTATGAGTAGGGCCAGAACTTTAGGAAATGTCAAGGGATTGCTTGGTTTATGGAATTAATAATATTGTGACCCAAAGGAAGCTACTGACCAAACCAGATCTGGACCTCAAGAAAGCGATAGAACTGGGCCTTTCCCACAAAAACATCAAAAAAGGGGCTCAGGAGCATCAGGGGTCTGTAGACAGTACAGTTCTCAACTTTGGGCGAACCCCATACTGCAGAGTCAAATCCCAAGTGGATAGTACTCACGGCTCCTGTTTATTGCTAAGTAAGGGCGATTAAAGTCAGAGGCTGCGAGCTTCCAGAATTGGATGGGAAGTTCCTGTACAATACGGCGAGAAACAAGAACATCCATGCTGCACTTGTGGTCATAGAGTTCACCCCAGACAAGGCAAAACACATACTGCCCAGGTCGAAGGGCATAGCCACCTCAAGTCAGCCCATTGTAAAAAAAGCAGCTTGAGGATGAGGAATTGTTACAGCTAAATTGCATCACTGCTCCCAAAGTGGCTCCAGTTAAGATAAAGTTCTGAGTAAATGGCCACCCATGGACATGGAGATAGACACAGATGCCACTGTATCTATTGTTGGGGAGTGAACTTTTAGGAAATTCCAATGGAAAATCTTGTCTTTAAGCCTGCAAGACACCAAGGCTAGATTGACCGCATACACTGGGGAGTCCTGTTATTATTGGGACCACTGTAACCCCAGATAGGCACCAACAACAGACTGTCTGACTGCCCTAATGGTCATGAAGGAGCCAGCTCCTAACCTTTTGGGAAGGGACTGGCTACAGAAAATCTGCCTGGCTTGGCAACAGGTCTTAAAAATGTGGACTGGTGATCTATATGAAGTCACTGGGGAGTATCCCAAGTGTTCCAAGAGGGCCTGAGCAAGATAAAAAAAAAAGCAGGGCCAAGATCTATGTAGACCCAGAGGCCCAACCTAAATGCTCCAAGGCTCAGCCGGCCCCCATGCCCTAAATGCCAAAATAGAGGCCGAATTGGAATGTCTAGAGGAACTTGGCATTAAATGCACAGTATAATTTGCTGACTGGGCCATGCCAGTTGTCCCAGTTTTAAAACCTGACAACTCAGTCACCTCTGTGAGGATTATAAGCTGATGGTCAACAGAGCTTCCCACTTAGACAGATACCCTCTGCCACACAGAGAAGACTTGTAGGCAAAGCTGGCTGGGGTCGCACATTCTCCAAATTGGATATAAGTCATGCCTACCTCCAACTGGAGCTTGAGGTATCATCCAGGAAGTAGGTTACTATAAAAACTCACAAAGATCTGTCTGAATACACTCACTTGCTTTTTGGGGTATCTTTGGCTTGTGCCATCTTTCACAGTGTCATAGAGAACATCTTTCAAGGGGTGCCCAGTGTGATAGCCTATATGGATAACATTTTAATCTCAGGAGTTACTGCACAGCAACATGTGGAGAGTTTGGAGAAGGTCTTACGGTGTTTTTCTGAGGCTGGCATCTGTCTAAAAAGAGAAACATGTTCCAAGTAAATGAGGTAACGTACCTCAGGTACAGAGTTGACCAAGGATGGACTATGCCCTGTTAAAGAGAAGGTGCAAGCTATAAAAAGACGCTCCAACTCCAAGGATCATAATGGAGTCAAAGTTTGTCGTCAGTCTCAATAATTGCTATGAGGAGATACAGTAAGCGTAAGGAACTTCAGCGACAGCTCTCCAGGGACCCGGTAATTTATCCTGCAAGAAGGGGGACCGGTATGGTACGTGATTAAAACCGGGGAGAAGATCACAAGAGAAAAGAAGCCATGTCGACTACCTCCAGCAGGGCAGCTGCTACAAGTGACATACCACTGAGGTCAAGACCCTTACAGAGGCTCTTTGATGGCCTTCACAGAAGAGACATTCACGTACTTATTATATCCCCGACCAGAGCCGGAAAGCAACAGGAATGGAGCCATAGGCAGAGTGACAGTAGAGACCCCATAATCACAGAGGTGAGTGGTTCCCTGAGACCCAGAGGGGCAGGGATGTGATGACCCATACAGGCCCATCGGGGAATCACTAATTAATGTCCCTGTGCAGCTTGTTGAGTATGAGTTCCCTTGGTAACAGGAAATGGTCTGCCCAACTGGAACTCATCACCTGAGCCCTTCATAAAGCACATCCAGGGCCTCCTTTTGCTGGTGCAGAGGTAGCATCCCTACCCCTGGACCAGGAAGTCCAGTTCAAGTCCCACCTGCTCCAGAGGTGTGTGATAACATCTCTAAACAGGTTGATTACAAAAATAAGTTAAACTAAAAAATTTTTATAAGGTGGTAGTGTCCCTACCCTTGGACCAGGAGGCCAGGGTTCAAGTCCTATCTACAGCAGAGAAAAGTGATACATCTCTGAACAGGTTGAGTAGAAAAATAAGTTAATAAAAAATTGAAAGTTATAAAGTTAAAAAAACCAGACCCAGGGCTGTCATGTTTGCCCCTCCCCCTCAGTTATGTTCATGTCTGGCTGTCAATGGGCTTTGCTTGTAAATATCTAATTGGCTACATGGATATTTTACAGGTGGTGGTTATTGTGCAGAAAGGGAACAAAAATAAAACAAAAAGAGTCACTGTGGCTTTGGAGGTGGTAAAGTCCTCTGTTATATGTATTAGCACTTCGGGATATATAAAAAGAAGATAAATTAGACCAAGGCAGCTCTTGTGGTGAAGTGATAGACTTTAAACCAGGAGATCCAGGTTCAAGTTTCACCTGCTCCAGATGTTTGTCATAACATCTTTGAACAGTTGATTTTAAAAAAAAGCAGACCCATACATTGTTCTGAACTGACCATACTGTCTGCCTCAAGCTGGGGCTAGCCTCTCTACACCATGAGTAGTGGTTCTATTTGGTATTCAATAATAAATGATGTTCCTTTCCAGTTGGGCTTCCTGAGTGATCATAGTTTTAGATCTCTGGCTGTTCGTTTTATATCAGAGTTGATGGCATTGGATTGATTAATTCCTTCCTAGGCACAGCTGAGATGGCAGTCCTCTCCTGCCAAGCACGCACACTCTATCTCTTACCCCATATTTGCATGCAGCTTGCACAGTTTGACATATTATCAGGTGTTAAGTGATGTTTAACTTGATCGAAAATTTCTAGCCACATTCACTGAAGTTTGAATCTTGCATAAACTCCAAGCCCTGACTGTATGAAGAACACACAGCCTGGGAATAGTCTTTTAACATCAATCAAAGAACATGGGGTAAGAGAGAGGGGAGAGAAAGAGAAACAGAAGAAGAGTAAATATGGCACTTTGCACTGTCAGTGTCAAATGAAATGCAACTCCAGTCTTACTTCTTATGCAGTCTGCACAGGACACAGCACATGACTCCAAAACCTTAATTTGATTCCATCCTTACAGAAGAATCACAAATTCTATTTGTTATCCATCCATTGGAACGGTTCCTGAACTAGAACCTCAAAAATCAAGGCAGGATTTTTATTTAGAAAAGGTTTATTTTCTGTTGATTAATTCTCATTGAGCAGCCAGTAATCAGTCCTCGTACCATTTAACATTCTATGTTTTGAATTTGAATTTGTACATTGACATTTAGACATTTAACAATTGCCAATCCATTGCTGGATTCTGCTGTAGTGTTGCCACTTAAACATTTAAACTAAACAACCAAGTTAATTTGACCTTCATTTAAAGGAGCAGTCTGATCCACTGGTAGCTTCAAGACACTGAGTGTCTCTATATCTGGGTCACTTTCTTTACATTCTTCAGAATGGTATCACATTGGAGAATAAATCAGATACTGCTTGCACTGCCATCCAGGATTCTGCAGCTCCTTATTTGTGTTAGTATCATAACCTGGCTTTCCCAAACACTGACTGGTTACTGCCTCTATCACTTCGTGAAATGTAGGCAACATAGCTCCATTAAACTTTTATACTGAGTTACTTTCATGAGAAAGAGAATTCCAGCACATTTACAGAAAGTTTCACCATCAACAGTCATTGTCCAGTTGTCCAATGTGTTTTGAGACTTCTGCAGTTGAGTGGAAGACAGTCACTGAAGCTGGACTCCGGAGCCAGATGTCAAATGTAAATCTGCGCAGTCAGAGCTGCTGCATCAGTCTTGGACCGGGCCTGACGCTCTGTGACTCAAATACAAAGTTCCACAATTTTCTCTGCATGCTGGTCGGGAGGTGCTGACTACATGGAAATTTCAAACAGCAGAAGTATCCCATGGAAACTAACCACAATATGTTTTGATATTAAACCGTTTTTCAGAGCGTGACACGTACCAGTGATAGAGATCAAAGTAAAAGGAGCAGTCAATGCCCGAATTACAGAATTTGCAGAAACAAACCTGATTCTAACTGGCGTGTGAACCAGTGTTTAAAATAAAACAATTAGAATTTTAAACATTCAAGCTGGAACTGGCCAGCAGGCTTGCATCTTTTAGCTACCCTCATGATCTAAGTTTGCTGAGTTACAAACTGTCAGTGTCAAGTTATTATCAAGGTGATAAATAGCCCCTATAGGGTTCAGCTTATGCCCCTAGTAGAACTGAATCCAAACCTGTCTCATAGAGATCCTGCTGCTCTCCTCCCTCTGGTGTGTCAAAGTGAGGGGAACAATTTTGCTTCCCATTGTAATGGTGCTGCATTACCATTGAGTGTGGGGGAGAGGGAGGTGCCAGCCCACTGAGCAGTGCTGCTGGGCAAGGGCACAGCCACTATACAGGGAGCACAGAACTGTGTCACTAGGCAGGGCAGGCCTTTCAGCATGGGGCAGTACTGCTGGGCAGGGGGGCACAGGGTAGTGTCACTGGATAGTGGCAGAGCAATGTCACTGGGCAGGGGACCGTGCTGCTGGGCAGCAGCAGTGCCACTATACAGGGAGCACAAGGCAATGTTGATGGGTAGGAGACACAGGGCCATGTCCCAAGCAGGAAGCACTGGGAACAGTACTATAAATGGAAGTGGCATTCTCTGGAGGTCAGGTCTAACACTAATGTGGCATCTGAGAAAAAAAAAAGAAGAGTTTGTGACAAAGCTCTATTAAATTGTTGTGTGCGCTTGTTAGCCTCAAAAATATTTTATCATCTCCCTCCAGCCACCAGTTGCAATTGCAAATAACATGGAAACATGATCCTGTCTGAGAATGGATTAACAGCAGACTATGTCCTGTAAGCTCTGCTATTGAGCATTGTCTGTCGTTGTGATTTCTAGCAGCTCGGCTCACAGACTCTGTCCATGAGACTCTGCAAACTCTGTTGTGCATATCAACCATTGGTTACTTTGTCAGGCATATTCATTTCTGATTTGCTGCTGCTAAGTTGTTACTGTAGAGAGTAAAATAAATCCCACAGGTCAGCTGACTGGTTGCCATAGTGTCACACAGTGAAAGGGGTTAGACTGAATCTCACATCCAACTTGCTCATCATTTGTTGAGCTGTGGTCCTGTTGTGACAGCAGACATTGTGGGCTCAAGGACTGATCTTGCACGTGTTTGTCTCTGTGGCAGGTAAGTGTGTGGAGTGCACATATCGATGGTGCATGGTAAAGTCGCTCAACACCATCAGGCCCTTTTGCAGCACAGACATTCACACAAATGTTGTGCATTCTGGCATCGTTGGTGAGTCTGCCATCTTGTGTTTATGGTAAGAGCGGTCCAATGTACTGGTGTGGCGAAGACTTGGGAAGCAGCTTTCAAACCTGCTCTTATTCTCCATCATGGAACAGCAGCACAGGATGCGCAGAAATGCTCTGCGCATATCCCTGCTCCTCAGAGTGTAAATGATGGGGTTCATAGCAGAGTTGAGTGTAGACAGGGCCAAGAAGATTTCTGCTTTGTGTAGGATCTTCAAATTGCTTTCTGTGTAGGCGAAGTCCAGCAGTAACATGATGAAAGTGGGTGCCCAGCAAACAATAAACACACCAAGAACAATTGTGACTGTCTTCAGCAAAGCCAGAGTCTGTGGAGCCGCAGTTTCGCAGTGACTGGATCGTACAATCAGATAAATTCGCACATAAAGGATGACGATGGACAGAAGGATGATGCTGAGCAGGGTGATACAGAACAAAATGTAATTCTTGGAGAAGAGAGGCAGCACAGTGGAACAACCATTCACATGGCACAGGCAGTTCCACCCCATTACCGGCAGCCCACCCAGCAGCACAGAGGCAATCCAACAGCTTCCGATCAGCAAGCACATCCGAGTATTCTTGTCACCGCTGTAGAGTTTGACTTTCACAATGGCCGCATGCCTCTCAATAGCGATGGCCAACAGACTGAGGACTGATGCTGCCAATGCGACAAACATGGTGCCCTCACGGATAAACCATTGCAGTGGTGTCAGCTTCATGGTCTGGCTTCCCGAAAACACAATGTTGAAGATGTAAGCAACACCCGCAAACAGGTCCGAGAGCGCTAAGTTTCCAATGAAATAAAACATGGCTGAATGGAACTTCTTATATCTGCAGATGGCCACCAACACCAAAAGGTTTTCAAGGATGATGAAAGAACACAAAATGATGAAGACAACGGAGGTGACACTCAGGCCTTGATACTTATATTTTGGGTCTGCAAGTTTCCCTGTTTGGTTATAATGGAAACTTATTAACTGCCTGTTGTAGTAATTATTAAAGGAGCCCTCAGACGCGGTGCATGGCATTTCCCCCATTTCTACAGAATTCGCTGGCTGCAGTCGGCAGTTGAGTCCTTCAAGGGCATAATGCCTCTTAACACCACATTCAGCTGAAGGTTGGAGGCCCACCGGTTTTACAAGATTCAGGAAGGGCTACTGTGATCACCTGTAGGAATCAACAAAGGGAAATGAGTTAGTTAGTTACTGTTGTGAGAAACAAACATTACAGTAAAAGGTCATACCTGTGGGCAGGGAAGGAGGGAGGGCAGCAAAATGTTGTCAGTTTTCTTTGTGGCCACTGGGACCCAAATCATCCTCGAAAAGTGTTGTTAAATGATCACATGTTACTGGTTGCAGCACAGAACCACTGGGTAAGAGGAGTTCAACCCATCGGAAGTGCACATCCTGCTGGACATGCTATTATTAACTCAATAACTGGCAGGGAGTTACAGCGACAGAAACAAATCTAAAAGTCTGCTTAGTCAAAAGGTGACCTTATCTCAGGCCTCAGTCAACCTGACTCCCAAACTAACCCAGCAAGCAGAATCTTTCTGATAATAAAGTTGCACCCATGCTGCCAGGCATGCTCACTGGAGTTGCACTGGGCAGGAGCAGACCTGGTACATTTGTGTATGCATGGGTTTGGAGCTGCACTGGGGCATGAGGAAGATTGGTGCCATGAAGTGGCATTTAGCTGCAGTGGGGCAGGAGCAGGATTGGTGTGCACTGGGTGCATGGATTGGATTGAATCATAGCATCCCTACAGTGTGGAAACAGGCCCTTCAGCCCAACAAGTCCACATCTACCCTCAGAGCATCCCACCTAGACCTATCCACCTATAACCTGTCTAATCTACACATCCCTGAACACTTGGGCAATTTAGAATGGCCAATCCACCTAGCCTGCACACCTTTGGACTGTGGGAGGAAACCGGAGCACCTGGAGGAAACCCACACAGACACGGGAAGAATGTGCAAACTCCACACAGACAGTCGCCCGAGGGTGGAATCGAACCCGGGTCCCTGGTGCTGTAAGGCAGCAGTGCTAACCACTGAGCCACCGTGCCACCCCTGCACTGGGGCATGAGTGGGATATGAGCAACACACATATTAGAGTCATCATCGTTGAGTGGGTTCAGTTTGAGAATCACTATCACCGAGCTGAAAAGTAGACAATGCTCTACATCGTATACCAGGACTGCACAGAGAATCAACTCTACATACTGTGGGACTTCCAAATGGAGCCTTCCATCTATGTTCCAGCTTGATTCCCTTCACTGGGATTTGTCCAGTCCAATAATCCTCATTCTGGGTTAAACTATTCATTCATAGCTTGGTGCCAGAAACTGAATGCAAACATGCTGTCCTTGTATCAGAAAGGGACCAGGGGGTTAGAGAAGCTGGAAAAGGATTTTACTTTTAAACATTTGATGGTGGTAGGGTGGGGTGGGGGTCTATGAGGGGAGTACACATTAGTACATAGCCTTTTCCAATCACAATAACAGCCTCAACATTTTATCAACTCATCTATTGAGTAATACTTTAAAAATAACAATTCAAATGTTATATCTTCAATTGAAAATGTGGATGGGGGTGTGATACAACCCACTCCCTCTAATACTCATCATTTCTTCCGCTAACACTCTCTGCCCTCCTCCCCTGATACTCCCTATACCCTCCTACTAATAATCCCCACAGTCCTCCTGCTGGTACCTCTCCCACAGTCCTCCTGATAAGACTCCCCATTGCTGCAGCTGATACCTGCCACACTCCTCCTGCTGAGAACTCTTAGTAGACCTCATTTTTAACAGGATTTATGGCATATTATTTTCACATTATTAATTAAACTCATTTCATTAATATTCACTCTCCAATTCTCCCATCTGCCAGATAGAAACGAGACACCAAGCATTCTTGATATGAAAGTCAGAAAAGGTATGTGGCAACTCCAGCCCACCCCTTGTTCCTTCTGGCCTCCATCTTGGACATCAGGCACCAATGTCTCAGGCATACTCCACAGCAGATGGAAACACCCCTTCTCCACAGAGACTGGCATCCAACACATGCTAGCTTCTGCACAATTGTAGCACAGCTCTGAACCACTTATGGTTCTACACTTTGTAGTGAAATGGCAACTGTAATTGGAATGCTGTCGCAAGGGTACTTTATGTGTAGGGACAGGGACCCATACCACAGATTGGACCAGGTTACCTTGACCTTCCTCCAATATGTTGGACATCCCTCCAGATGGCACTGATCCTATTGGCAACCCCAGACCAGAACAGCAGTGCCCGGCACCATGGCCCATCCTGTCAGCCCCCCGAGAAGAGACTGTGCTTCCCATCCCATCGACCATGGCCTCAAGGTCCCTGTCTGCAAAGCAGGTGCCAATTTCCCCCCATCTACCAGTTATGGGGCAAATGTCACAAACCTCACAGGGCAGCTCATGACACTGGCACGGGGATGCTGATGTATCCCAGCAGTGGCGAGAATCTCTGTGTACAGTGAGTGGTAGAATTCTGCCAGCATCAAATGAGAGATGTACCATTCTGATGAAGTAGGTACTCAATAAGGTGAGCCTGCAGATCACTTTAGTACGGAGATCAAGATGAAGAATCAGTTAGAGTGAAGATGAGAAATGGTTGAGGAAAGAAGTCACTCATGGGAGTAGTCTATATGCCCCCTAACAGTAACCACAAAGGACAAAGTATACAAGAAGAAATATTGGGTGACTCTGACAAAGGGACAGCAATAATTATGTGTGACTTTAATCTACATATCAACTGGAAAATCAGATTAGTGATAAAAAAGGCAAAGAACTGCGAATGCTAGAAATCTGAAACAAAAACAGAAATTGCTGGAGAAACTCATGAGCTCTGAAAAAGGTCACTGGACCTCAAATGTTGACTTTGTTTTCTGTCCACAGGTGCTGCCAAACCTGCTCAGTTTCTCCAGCAATTTCCCTTTTCTGCCTGTTCAATTCCTCTTGTAATAAACCTCATTAGCCTTCTTGATTAAAATCATTCCTGAGTATTTGTGAGGATTCCATTCCTGAGAACCCTCACAAGTGATGAAATTTGCAAGCGCAGAGCTGGTTATAAATCGCAGATACATGGGTTTTGCCTGCAGATATTGAGTTTTATTGTTACTTTTTTTCTGATGCGTATTGGTACATTTGCAATTTGTGATTTCATAGAAACAGGGGATTTATTGTACGTATTCTACCTGCATAGTAACCTTTTGTGAGTCATATACCAGAAACTTAAATCCCTCTGAATTTTGGAATTCAGCGATCATTCTCCATTTAAATAATACTTTGCTTTTTTATTCTTCCCGCCAAAGTGAACAACTTCACATTTTCCCATATTATATTCCACTTACCGGATTTTTGCGCACATGCTGAACTATATATAGTAGTGTACAGTTTCTTTATGTCTTTTATCTTTGTGTCATCTGTAAATTTAGCTACCATGCTTTTGATCTAGTGACCCTTCTTCATTTCTCTCCACAGATGCTGCTAGAGCTGCTGAGCTTCTCCAGAAATTTCCATCATTGCTTCAGATCTTCAGCATTCGCAGTTCTTTGTTTTATTTATAAAGGTAAGGACAATATGCTTTTCGTTATATAGGGTATTCATGAGTCCGTGTCTCAAATCCAGTTGCAGTTTTGGTTTCTGTCTTTAAGAAAGGATGTACGTGCCTTGGAAGAGGTTCCCCATGATCGGATAGCATCTTTGATCACCAGCTCCACCTCATTTAGCTCAAACATCTCTCCTCTTCTTCCCCCCGCCCCTCAATGATCACTGAACTCCTCCCTGGACCACGTGCAGCTGCCACTAATCTGATCTCTCATCTCTGTGACCACCTCTGTACCAAAGCCACCTTGTACAAATAGTGTATAACCAATTGAAAGATAGCTGACAAGGTGTAGAGCTGGATGAACACAGCAGGCCAAGCAGCATCATAG